TTTGCCTGTCGCCAGGCAACGTTGACTAGGTCGTTCGATTTGACCCACAAATCACTCTTGGGCACCTACAGAACTATCACCTAGCTGCAGAAAAACCGGAAGCGCCACGCATTTTTTAAAATTATGGATAGAAAATAGACACTTCTATTCGATTGTAAATTTCACCTTGAATTGTTTTTAGAAACGTGTTAATATAAGTGATGACGAGATAAGATAAGCGAAACATAGCGGACATCTTAAAAAATATAGGTTTTTACTATACGAACTAACAGGGTTTGCAAGTTTTTATAGGTGCAACCGTAAACGTTCTGAAATGTCAAGGCAAAGCTGGATAATTCCGACCATTTGTAATCCAGAGCCAATTACTATTTCTAGGAGCTCATGCGTAACTGTTAAAAAGAAGAAAATATAAACGATGATAAAATCATTAAAAAAAGGGCCGGGGTACCAAAATGTTTGATGGTACCTACATCGTCTTGGTGAATCAGGAATCAGATAAATTATAGAGATTCAGGTTTCTATGAGAGATCTGAGGGCGTTCAATTCAAAATCATTAAAAAAGATGTCTATTTAATTAAATCATTTTTAAGGTTTTACGTAATATATAATTATTATGTGATTAAAATAATTTTTTATTATAGCATTTTTGATCGGCTAAGATGGTTTTCATAATATTAAAGATAAACATCTACAAGTTGGGACTGTTACGAAATTCCCATTCTGTAAGTTCATTCGCCTTGTTCTACCGTCGCCCAGTAGTTTAAAAACATTTTCCTGTTGTTTAATTTCGAAGGCCGAAAAATATTTTATTGAGATGAAAACCGTTGAAGGATACTTTGTTGTGTGGACACGACGAATTTCCTGAAAATGCAATCTACCGTGAAAATAATGTCTGATGTTTGTTGATACTTTGTTTATTCACGCGTTGCTAATAATTTCAAAAAAGATTATTATTTTCATTTGCAATATTGCATTTTTAGCCAGGTGATCGAAATATTTCTTCTAGTTTGAGGTGGGGATGATGCCTATGCATTCATTTGTTATAAATTATTTTTTTAAGTCTTTTGAAAGGTCATAATGCTAAAAACAGACTATTGTACATTAAATCGTACACAAAACATTGAAAAGATAAACGCTTATAAAATGTATTAAAACTGGTCTTAATATAATATAATAGCTGTGGTTCATTTAAACGTTCTGAGGAGTATCGTTGGGAATCGTTAGGAGCCTTCGTTCATCCTAAAAATTTATATTCGGGATTTTTTTTTTTTTTTTTGAGGGGTGCAAAGACCAAATTGTAATTCCAAAATTTTAATTTAATTTAATTTAATTAGATGGGCGACGTTTAAGCCTTTCCGTGTAGTGCATGAGGTTCCTGTAAAGTTTACTATGGGTCGGTGGAGTTTTTTAAAATTTATAACTGTTTTTATCAATTTCTTTTAAAAAAATTGAGTAAGGCGAAAAATTTGCGAGAGATTACGTTTGTGTAGTTAATGCTTATTGCATTCTTATTTTTCTCACTTATAATGACAAAAAATTTAAAAAAATGTTGGCATAGCCTGAGAGTTGAAATATTTTGCTTTATAACGGTTGTAATAACTAAATTCACTAATTTCGTGGTCCGCTTGACCAATTAACATATTATAATTAATAAAGGTTTTGAGTTGAGATAAAAAAAGTCAATGGCACGAGCGGGATTCGAACCCACGATCTTCGGCTAGATACGCCGCTGCTCTACCACTTGAGCTATCGTGACCTCGATCCACTCGGACACCAACTTCCCATCTCAACCCCACCTTTTGAGTTTTCAATGAACCTTGAGATGGGAAGTTGGTGTCCGAGTGGATTGAGGTCACGATAGATCAAGTGGTAGAGCAGCGGCGTATCTAGCCGAAGATCGTGGGTTCGAATCCCGCTCGTGCCATTGACTTTTTTATCTCAACTCAAAACCTTTATTAATAGTAATATATTAATTGGTCGAGCGGACCACGAAATTAGTGAATTAAATTATACATTTCATATTGCAATTTCCTGAAAGAAGGCCGAAAGTGATACAACACAAAAGACACATAGATCAATGTGTCTATCGACTATCTAATGACATTAAACTAAAACCTTTTTATGAAGACCTTTTCTCTAAGGCTTCCTAATAAATATTTGAACACTTAAGTAATTCAGTTTCGCTGACGTGGTTAGAAAGGTACGAGGTCGAAAGCGAGAAGTCAAACATTGACACAACCCGTCAGAAAATCCACCCGCCGGCCCATTCCACTTTAAATGGATTGGTTTAGCTGGAAGCCGACAATTATAAAGGATCCCATTTAAATGGGCGAGGTCGTCCGAGAGGCCCGAGAAGTGAAAGGCCCACGGAGGATTTCCTTTCATAAACAGAAAATCGACCCCGCGGGGCAATCGTCGGCTTTATTAGGTTTGCTTTTACTTATGCCCTGGATTCGAGAATCCGCGTCGTCAGACGACAAAGAGGGAATAGAAAAATATGAGAAAAAGGTTTGCAGACGTCAACAGAATTACACGACCTGGAAATTATGCAATATGGTTAATCAATCGGGACGAGCAACCTGTGCGCAAACCGTTTAAGCAAAAAATATTCCGATTTTATTTGTACAATAGTTTGCGTTATTTAACTTCTTCGGTGCATTTAAACTCGCCCAATTCAAGGCTATGTCCAAAATCGAAAAACTTAATTGTGGCTTGATGACATATAAATGATTATAATGGATTTATAATTCTGGTTAAATAATGAAAACGCTTATTTTTGATTTATGATAATGTATGATATGCAATGATTAGGTTATTTAAAATTTTTGGTGCGATTACTCTCGTTTAATTCAAAGATGCCAAAAAAGAGACCAACATTTCGACTTGACAGTTATAAGTAAAAAAAAAAAAAAAAAAAAAAAAAACACATATCAACAAAACTGCAAATAATGTATAATAAAATCTATAAGTTAAATATGATCAAAACTATGATCGATATATCATGAAAACAAAGTTATATAACAGAAAAACTACAATTTCCATGTCATGAAAACTAAGTAGTCATATATCATGAAATCTATAAGCTGTATATCGTAAAAGCTACATATTAGTCAAGGAACATGATATATCTGTGCGATGCGTATTTTTGGGTGGGAAGGGTTTCATGAAAATAGGGCCAGGGCGACGGTGGGAATCGAACCCACGACCGCGGTGTCGACGAGCTGAGAGTCTACCATGCTGACTGCAATTACCGTCGTCCCCAACTGCAAGTTATGAAAAGTATAATATAATATGTAGTTGTTAATGCAATATTTTTTTTATTAAATGGCCTTCAACCACTATGGGTCATTTAACAGTGTAATAAGTAAATATTCGTTCTTGTACATCATAAAAACTACAAGTTATATATCAGAAAAACTTTAAGTTATGTATCATGAAAGCTGTAAGTGGTGTAATTTACAATTAGAAGGTGTATATCAGTCAAGCTATAAATGGTATATAATAAAAACAACATCATGATAAAAGTTAATTAACTGTTATATCAAATTAGATATCATAAAAACTACGAGCTATATATCAGAAAAACTATAAGTTATATACCGCGAAAGCTGTAAGTGATATATAATCAAAACAAGAAGTTTTGTATCATGACAACTGTAAGTGATCATATCAAATTATATATCATAAAAACTACAAGCTATGTGACAGAAAAACTGTAAGTTATATATCACGACAATTACGAGTTATGTGTCATATAAATTGTAAGTTATATATTACAAAACTACGAGATGTGTAACATATAAAGCATAAGTTATATATTAAAAAAACTGTAAGTTATATATCACGAAAATTACGAGTTATGTATCATATAAATTGTAAGTTATATATTAAAAAAACTGTAAGTTATATATCACGAAAATTACGAGTTATGTATCATATAAAGAATAAGTTATATATTAAACTGTAAGTTATATATCACGAAAATTACGAGTTATGTATCATATAAAGTGTAAGTTATATATTAAAAAAACTATAAGTTATATATCATGAAAACTGAAATGCATTAAGTTATATATCATGAAAATAACAAGTTATAAATCAGAATGATTATAAGTTTTATATATGATGAAAACTGTAAGTAAAGCATCATGCAATCTATAAGTTATACATTATGAAAGCTGTAAGTGTTATATAATAAAAATCGATCAGTTATTTATCATGCAATCTATAAGTTATTTATCATGAAAACTATAAGTGGTACTTAATAAAATCTCCAAGTTATATGTCTTAAAAGTTATTTATCACAAAAACTACAAGAAATATATCGTGCATTTGATATGTTATATGTCATTTTCATAAAGATTATAAATTATATATATTGTAAAATCTGTAGGTTATTTATTAAAAAACCTTATATTTCAAACAATTTTCTAGGTTTTTTGGTGAATCCTATTCATTTTCGAATTATTTGAAGTCATGTCGGGAAAAGAATTTGTATGTTTTTTGCTTTTGCCAAGATTTTTCTAATTTTTTTCGTTTCTCTTCTGTTGAAATTTCTGTTGATTAGATTAGTTAAACACATCATGGATGTTCGTAAGATAAGCGTAAGATAAGATTGTCCTCTTTTGCTCTTTACTTACAGATATATAAACCAATTTATTTTTCTATTCGGTACAGCTTGAAATAAATTTTTACTATTTTCCCACGTAGGAAATTGTTTATTATTTATTATTAAATTGTAATCAGATTATACTGGTTGATTTAAAGTTTTTTTAAATACAAAATTAAAAATCAGTGTACTAAGCTACGAAAACATTTAAAGGCAATATTTTAGCAAAATGATTTACTCGTTTGACGCACTCCACATTTTGGATACTTTGTAAAGAGGTAGTAGTTGTCAAGTTATAAATCGATGTTTTCAATAATATAAATTTTGTAAAACTTGGACGAATTGAAGGGGAGAAAAAAGTTCAAACATTGATAATTAAATTTTCACTTACATGAAATCCTCTCTGGTTTTGTGCCTTATCGGGTACCTGGGTACGGCCTTTTCCTCTTCGTCCGCTACCAAAGTCTCCACGCTGAGAGAAGATTTCGCCCTGTTATCGAAAGGGCTCGGGCTTCGTAATTTGTATTCCCATTCCTATCGAGGATAAAAAGTTTAAAAAAAGTCAATTTCAACTCGAAATATCCGCTGTGCAAATAATTTTTCGTTATTATGTTTTAAAACAGAACTTTCAGATTGAAATTACTACAGTACAAATGGGGGAGAAAGTTCTGCTTTTATCTAAGGCAATTGTAATTTGATTTAGAAGAAAATTTGTAGCGTGGACATTTTTTTCTTCCGTCAAATAACCACATAACACAAAAACACTCAGTAATATTTCAATCATTCTTTGTTTATTCATTATGAAGGAATAAGAATAGCCATTTTAAGTTCAATTATGTCAGTATAGGGTCTACAAAATTGATTACGATTAAAATTAGAAATTAAATAGAATTAAATGTAAAAATAAATGGTTTTCTTTTAATTTGAAAATTTTTCTAAATTATAATATGGGATTATATTTTATCAGTTATACATCAGAAGAATTCTTTATTTTAATATTTAATTTTATATAACTTTTAATTTTAATTAACTTATAATTAATATTAATACTTTTTAACTGTTAATAATTAATAAAATTAACTTATAATTTTTAATTATTCTTGCTATTTTATGTAAGATTCTAATATTTATATTAAAAAGATTCTAGAATTAATATTAAAAATAATTTGCTGTTACATTTAATTGTATACAACTTTTAATTTTAATTGTCATTAAGATTAAGTTTTTCATTGATTTAAAGAAAGGGTTCATTTGAAGTTGTAAAGGTTTAATTTCAAAAGAAAAAAGTGAAATTGAAGTTAAAAGAATTAATTTGTAATTAAAAAGGTTAATTTGACGGAAAAAAGCTGTGTGAATACTGAACATATCAATAACACATGAAAATTAATTATAACTAAAATGAAATATAAGAAAAGATGATCTTTATATTAATTCGAGATTCAATAAACAGCTAAGGATTTAAAATTTCTCCGTTGTTGGAAAACTTTTTTTTTGTAAGATCCCCATATCTAAATTTTAAAAAAATTAAAGATTTTAAAACAGAAGATTTATAGACATTTAGTTCTTTGTATTAAATTTATCTTCTGAAAAGGGGAGAAGGATAAGGCACCGTGCTTTTATGCAAACTTCCATGTCATCTACTAAACATTAACTATTATGATCTACTACTCTTTTTTTTCTCTTATTAAGTCTGTAATATTCTCTCATTGTGTAACCTTCTTGAGAAGAAAGAAAAGTCTGCAGTTCTTCTATCCAGACTTCCCTGCCACGCACTAAAGAATATCTGTGGCATGTTTTATTCTTCATTTATTTACAACAAGACTGGAGAAAAGGATGCAATCTGGATAAGCCGTTTTGAAATGTACCATCGTCACTACATCCAAAATAATTTCGAGAAAGGCAAAAAAATTCAAAATTACTTTCTTCAATGACTCACAAAACCTGTATACATCAAGAAATTGATTTTTGGTGAAGTAGAAGGATGTCATCTGAAAATGTTTCTATTTTCTACTTCTATCAAGTACTTTAATGAAATCTTTTACCGAAATAAGAAAAGTAAAAAGACTTTTTGCTTTCTAAAGAAGACAAGAAGAGAAAGTAATGAATTAATAATTTTTTAAATACGCCGCGTTCACCGTTTTAAATAATTTCCAAACCCTCCCGAGATGGAGAGACTATAAATGGTTTGAAACGTTCCATTATGTTTACATCCACATCAATTATAGCAAGACTAAGCCTTCCAAAATAACCAAACAACTAAACCTTAACTGAACCCTCTTTATAGGGAAAGTTTAGGCCTGGTAAAAGAATGTCATCTAATGTTTTTATTATTTGCTTCTCTAACTGATCCTTCTGTTGAGGAAAGAGGAATTATTAATCTTAGTGTTTCTACATAAACTACATAAATCTCTACTAAATATTTATGTGATGTACGTTTAATGCTTTTCCAATAAACACTGCTGTGGGTAAAAAACGATGTAATAAATTAGCAGAGTCCTAAATTGCTTCTATTGTTTTCCATTTCAGTTAAATTGGAAACAACCTAATTGACAATGTCGTATCGTATACAGAATAACAAAAGAAGAATACATATTCCAAAACAGTTGTGGATTTAATGACACGTAAAGTTGTCGTTTTTGCTGAGAAATAGGTAATGCTTTTCATCTTCTCTCCAACATCAGGAGACAACTAGAAAATAAAAGAAACTCTGTGGTTCTGTTTATTTTCCACAGAAGAAGAAGTTTGCATGATAATAATGATTCCTAACGTCGTCGGTAGACTGTACAACACATCATCCCCTGACTAGATCAGTTAATTTTTCTTTTGTCTGAAGAATTTTTAAGGGAAAAATGCAGTACTTACGGGACGGATTGGAGGAAGTATCGAATCGGGGCCTGGTCTAAAGAACAGATCGGCGATGTCTGAACTAGTCAGTCTTCCAAGCATGATTCCCCCGAGTCTGTCCGTCCTCCCATCTTCGACCTGAAAAGACCACGGTTGTTTACTTCATGTGCCACAGTTTGCTCTCGTTGGGGTCACTTACGATTGGTGGAAGCCTGTAAGCCGCGACTATGGGTTCACTCGAAGATCTATTGCTGCGTACCCTCCCGGCACCGACCGTCGGGTACACCAGGGCGCCGTAGTACCTGAGCGCAGGGTCTCCGGAGCATTGTGAACAACCGCCGCCTTCGTACTTGCACCATCGGCAGACCTCGCGCGTCACGTTGTCGTTTCCTCCTCCTTCATCTTCACTCTGAAACAATAAGAGTTCAAGTAGAGTTTACTTTAAGTTTAGTTTAAGTACTACTAGAGATGGAGGGACAAAGGTAAATATATAAATAGATAGACACAGAGAGAGAGGGAGAGAGAAAGAGATAGATAGATAGATAGATAGATAGATAGATAGAGAGAGAGAGAGAGGGAGAGAGAAAAAGAGAGAGAGAGAGTGAGAGAGAGGGGGGAGAGAGAGAGAGATAGATAGATAGAGAGAGAGAAAGAGGAAGAGAGAGAGAAAGAGATAGATAGATAGATAGATAGATAGATAGATAGATAGAGAGAGAGAGAGAGAGAGAGAGAGAGAGAGAGGGAGAGAGAAAAAGAGAGAGAGTGAGAGAGAGGGGGGAGAGAGAGAGATAGATAGATAGAGAGAGAGAAAGAGGAAGAGAGAGAGAGGGAGAGAGAGAGGGAGTGAGAGAGAGGGGAGAGAGAGAGTTCTAGAAAGGAAAAGAGGTAACAAGTGAGAGAAAGTAAAAGAGATAGAGATGGAGAGACATAGATAGATAGAGAAAGGGAGAGAGAGAGAGAGAGAGAGAGAGAGAGAGAGAGAGAGAGAGAGATGAGAGAAAGAAAAGAGTAGAGATAAAGATGAAGAGAAAAAGAGAAAGAGTTCTAGCAAGAATGAAATATACAATATTTTCCTCCAGGCTTCACACATGTCAACGAACAAGGAATAGAACAATGGAACAACTTCAACGTTGTAAAACTTTCTGTTCTATAGGATAATAAAATAATACAAACTATTGGAAATTTTATTCATGTCAAATATATATACTAAAATTCCTTTTTAATCAAGCTTTATTTATATTATTTTTATTAAGAAAGGGACCTACGGGTATCTACCGGTAACATTTTTATATGAAATTTCTAAAAATAGTGCTATTACACTATAACACAATAGCAAATAAATTGGTACAACTCAAAGTTAATGTCTATCTAAAAATAGCTTTGTGCGAGTGAACAGTTGATCAAAACTCAATTCATAATGTACATTAATTATTTTTATTTACTATTCTAACTTGATGCTTGTTTATTGATTATCTTTATAAATAATAAACCAGTCGTATTTTTCTTTGATGCTTTTTCATTATGTGACGACAATAGATAGTTAGGCGATTAAGCTTTGGATTTGAATTTTATCTTTTCCGCCAGCCGTTGAAATAGACAGCAATGGTTTTTTAGACAATATTCGGACAGAAAGCATTTCCAAACACAATTTACGCCTGGCCCAATCGTTTTCATGATATTCATGATATGGTCTACCATGAACTGAAGCAACCCCTGCTCATGTCGCCTTTCCTTTCCTTATTTACTCTCATAGGGACAGGGATAAAAGAGACGGTCACAAATCCTTCTGCACCTCGACCTGAGTAGATCTATTTATTTACCCCCTACGAGGTTTAGTATGCTATAAAAAATCACCCATCAAAAAAGCTCCAGGCCACGACCACATAGTCCAACAGCTCTTGGCCAACCTTGCTCGTAAATGTTTAGTTCCTGATAAAAATTTATAACGCCTACTTACAACGGAATTGAAAGTACACAATCATCATCATGATTGCCCAGCCGGGAAAAGGAAAGATGGCATAAACAGCCACAAGCCAATAAGTCTTCTTGATCTTCTCTCTAAGGTTTTCGAAAGATTTCCTACCAAAGCTCATGTTACACTTGTCCACATCAACTCCATGGGATTGTTGATGATATGTTAAATACGTAAGAGGAAAAGAAAGTCTATCTCGAGCTGCACGTAAACACAGAAAAGGCTTTCGACAAAGTGTGCCATCAGGCTTATTAATAAAACTAAGCCTTATCTTGGTGACTCCCTGTACCGCATAGTACAATCTTACCTCACGAATCGAAGAGAGCCTATTCACAGACTTTTGGAATTAAATCAGGAGTACCTCAAGGCAGTGTACTGGGACGTTTCTCTACATTCTCTTTTCAAGAGATTCCCAACAAATACGCTTTTAAAAACAGTTTACTTTGCTGATGATTCGCCATACTGTCTAAACAAGATACAAGTTAAGAAGCCCATTCCGTGCTACAGGAATTCGCGGAAAACATCAGCATTGGGTGTAAGACGGAGAGTAAAAGTGAACCCAACGAAGTCTCAAGTAGTTCAATTCACTTATTATTGGCTCGTGTCAAATTAAACAGTTTTGTTGCTGGTAATTTATGGTAGTAGTAAATTTTATAATACCTACAGTACCTGAGATATCTAAGGCTACATCTGGACCAAAAGCTAATATGGGAAACATATATCGTTGGTTTAACAAAAAAGTAATGTTGTTTTGCAATTAAAGGATTAAGCATTGAATGTATGCTTCGACATCTCGCCAATAACATCATTCTACTCTACGTGAAACAACTCATTTTACATAATGACCATAAGGCTTATCTCGCAATAGGTTGAGCCATACGGTTATCGGCATCTGATTCACACATTAAAAAGGTGCAAACCATTCAGAACCGTATCCTCCAATTAAAATGGTATGTTCAGAACCAAACTATCCACAAAGACTTGGCGTCCCTAAGTAATCAAGGACACCTACAGTCGACACCACCGGTCCATCATGGCGCACCCCAACCAACTCCAAGACTTCAAAAAAGACTGAAAAGGAAGAGACACTTTCGACCACCCTAAACTCATATCTGTCATTGTTAAATAATTAGTCTTAATATTGTCACCAAATTGATTAATAATCCGATTAAGTGAGGAACGCCACGGGGAGTTTGTTTTCACTGTAAGTTTCAAGTCATAAGGATCACAATTACTATAATGTTGTGTATTAGCTTAATGAAGTTTAAAAATACGGGAAAAAAGAAGAGAATATTCATATTATATCGATCGATTTGGAATTTTTCTATCCTTTTCAACGACAAAACCGTTGAAACGTTTTTGTCTAGATTTATTTCAAAGATAAGAGGGAAAGGACTATGATGTCTATGCCCTGCGCACGCCACAATTTCTGCACGAAGTACCAGCTTTACTCATGAAAATGTGAGAAACGATATCAGGATGACGGAAAGCACGAAGAGCTCTTTGCGGACGTTTAATTCTGCACAAGCTGAACATCATCGTTGTTTTCAAATTGGAAAAATCCAAGCTAGAATAACTTGGTGTACCTACCAACTATTCTTGACCGATCTATTCCGATCAAAATGTACAATTTGATTTAAATGTAATGTTAATGCCAATAAATATAAGATTCAATGTGTAAAGAAAATCATACTAAATTGTATAGTAAGTGTAATTCTTAGAAATGATGAAGACTTACAATTCATGTCGAGAGGCGTGTTTGTAACTCCTACAACCTGATAATGAACGTTTAATGCTTGACATCTCGCTATTTAACAACATAACCATCAACTCTGTGAGGAGAACCGTCTTTTACAAAAAGTAAAAAAGTTTAATTCTTATTCAAAATTTCGTATATTTTATAATAAAACTGAAATATGGAGGTCGACCAATTCTAAATTGCTCTACTCTCAAATAATTTAATTTTAAATCAACATCGTTGTGAATTTTATAGTACAACCAAATGGCAACGACTTTTTTTTTTATAATTTGTTACATTCTCAGGCAATTTGCTTTTTTCTAGCATTTCTTTAGGAAAAAATGAAAGAACGTGTTGCCTAATTTTGAAGGGTACTTGTTTTAGAGTAAAACTTTGATTTCTATCATAGATTTGATGAATGACTGACTTCTCTTAACCAAACGTAAAAATAACGAAAGTAAAACTGAATGATGATAGGTGAATTATTCTGACGTTTTTGTTCAAAAATTGTGTGAATTTTAAAGAAAAGCTGAATGATGGACAGAATTATCCAGACTTGTTTCAACCTAAAATATTGTAATTTGTATAGAAAACTGACTGATGAATGTATGAATTTTATAATAATACTGAATGATGGTGGGATTTTCCTGAATAAAGATGGTTGGTTTATTCTTACTTTTATTTAAAATTTGTGTGAATTTTACAGGAAAACTAAATGATGTTGGTTGCATTATTCAAACTTTTTCTTCAAAAATTGTGTGAGTTTTATAATAATATTAATTAATGATTATCCAGATTTTTCAAAACTAAAATTTATGTGAATTTTTTAATAAAACAGAATGGTTATGGCTAGCTGATCTCGAGGTTTTAGCCACAATTTGTGTGAATTTTACAGTAAAACGGAACAATGGTTGGATTATCCAAACTTTTTATTATTATTGTACAACTAAATAATGATGTTTGGAGCAACCAATGTTTTTTTCATTATTGTAAAACTGATTGATCATGCCAACCGATTATGAATTACTCTATTCCCAGTCTAGCAATTTAATTTTTTCCCAACAGTTGGGAGAATTGCATAGTAAAACTGAACTATAGTTGTCCCGAATTGTCCTATTCTGAGTCGATCATTTAATAAACCAACAAGTTGGTGAATTTTATAGCAAATCCAACTGGCGATGGCCGACTAATTCTGAAATAGTCAATTCTCATCATGTAGAGTAATAACACTGGATGATAGCTGTGCAGTTCTGTATTGTTCTATTTTCAATCTCGAAATTTAGTTCTTATCTAACAGCTTTTCGATATCGAAAACAACACTAGATGATGGTATCTGAGGACTTCTGAATTGTCCTATTCTTAGTCTCAATTTCAATTTATCAACGTTTTATTGATTTATCCCAAGTGTTTAAATATTTACTTAAGCAGATTCAGATACTTCTTTACATTTATACATTACTTATGTATACATACATTACTACATATATACATACTTCTATACATATAATCTTGAATATATCCAAAGTAAACCGAATCGTGGTGCCTGTTGTATACCGAGTTGCCCTATTCTTAATCGATCAGCTAATTTTCCCTAGATATTGGAAATCGCTAATGCATGCACTTTTTGAAAATAACAGAAGTAATAATTAAGCACGGCATTTAGATAAATATAGACTTCATTTTACAAAGATTATTTTTT